TTCAGTGTATAAATTCATATAACTCATTTGGAAAACAAATTTGGCACTGCTTATTAAAGATAAAGAATAAATATCTTACATCCAGTAATTTTATTCCCAGGTTTTTATAATAGAATCTTATACACAAAATGATTTGCCTACAGATATATTCATAGCAGCTATATTCACTTAGGGCAATCTAAGCTATGGTAACAAGTGGACAAAAAAAAAAATCAGTTCTTAAAGAACAAAAATTTCCTTCTCTTCTAACAGTTCCAGCTTGGGGGCAGACTGATAGCACCTCAAAGAATGATGGCTCAGCCACTTCTGGTGCCTTCCAAGATCACCTTGGGCATTGCTGTAACACAGGGGTTAGCCAACTGGACCATGAGCCAAATCTGGCCTGCTAACTATTGTTGTAAAGTTTTATTGGAACACAGCTGTGCCCATTTGTTTATGTATTGTCTGTAGCTGCTTTTGTGCTACAATAGCAGAGTTCAATAGTTGTGACAATGGCCATATGGCCTACAAATTCTAATGTATTTACTATCTGACCCTTTATGGGGAAAATATTTGTTGACCCTGCTATATAGTAGTGAGCAAGGAGGGAGAACAGTATGAAAGTGTACACATGGAAGGTTTTTATAGGACAGCCCCCAAAGTGGCACATATAACATCCACTGGTTTTCTACCTGACCACACACAATGACAAAGAGGACTGGGAAATATAATCTAGCTGTGTACCCAGGATGAAGGAAAAAGTGCATATTTGTGGATAACTGGTAGCTTCTGTCACAGCAACATTCTTCATAATAGTCACAAACCAGAATTACTTAAAACATCCATCAATAGCAGCATAGATGTTTAGAAAGTCAGCAGTACATACAATTGAGTAGTATATAGCAAAGAAAAAAGCTCCAGCTACATAAACCATCAACATAGATAAACATTTCAGACAATATTAAGCAAAAGAACTCTCAAAATAATGTTTAAAATATTTCTGTTTTTATAAAGTCCAAAAGTAGCAAAACTAATCCATGTTTTTTGCCAAATCAATAGTGTTAAAACTATAAAAGGATAAATGGGAATAATTATGAGAACAGTGGCTAACTCCTGGAGACAAGAGGAGGTGTGACCAGTGTTCCTGATCTGGGGAGGGTTTACTCTGGCATTTTCTTTATAATTTATGCTTTAAACTAAACTGAATATGTAATATGGCTTAGCTGTTTTTAGGATGCAGAATAAAACAAAGAAACCAGAAACAAGAGATTTCTAATCATTGAGCCTCAAAAAAAAAAATTGTCTTATCATGTGATGTTGATTGATGGAGGAGCAAACAGACTCAGCTACATAAAAATAGGACATGAACCATTGTGTCCAAGTGCATCTGTGTATGCAAAAAAAATTGTTCATATTTATTTACATGAGTACTAATGTAGTCTCATGTATTTGTTATATATGTATTTATACATGATTTGATTAACCTAATGGGTAATATTCTTCCAGTACTTTTGTTTTTAAAAAGTTTGTATTGTCCTTGTATGTATGCACATGTGTGAATATATAGTTCCATGAATATGCACATAGGTAATTTGTGATATACTTATTAAAAAATAGAGCTTAGAAATTTAAGAATAAGAAATAGTTACACTTGACCTATTACTAACAGTAAACATCCTCAACCTTTTGGAAGTTTCATATGCTTTCAGAATTTGATGAAAGCTATGGTCCCTTTCCACAGAAAAAAATGAATGAACACATATATACAGATTGGTGTACCTACAGTTATGAGGTATTCACACACTCCTGAAATATATCCATATATTGTAAAAGTTCCTAGCCTCTCATTCAGATTTTCTTCTTAGATTATCCCCATCAAATGTCAGTTGTCTCAACCAATTTTTGAAATATCAATGAAATATCAGAACAGAAAAAGGTAAGACATTAATGTTCACATCTTCTGTGGTAGTGACTGGAAGATATTTAGATTCTATCACTAACAGACTTTTCTTCTTTCCTCTTACCACAAATCCTTCAGTTGTTTTCACTGTTATTTGCCTGTCTTAATTTCTCCTGTATCACCCAGGATTCTGCCCAGATGGTGGGAGTTGTGAACTTCTTCATCTGCCTCGTACTGTCTGTTGTACTCTGTTCTAAAATCTTCTGCAAGACTATTCTATCCAGAGATCAGTTTGGATGTTTTTCTTGTTGTTACTATTTTGTTTTATTTTTTTGAGTCCATCTAACCTAATAGTTAGAAATCTGTGATAGAGAGCCAAACAGACCTGATTGCATTTAAAATTCAGCTTTATCTGTACAAGCTGTGTGTGTTGGACATGCTGTTTGACCTTTGCAGTTTCTATTTTCTTGTCTGTAAGATGAGGACAATAATATAATTTAAAGACTGTTACAAGGATTAATGATAATACATTTAAAATCATTAGCAAGATATAAGGACATAGTGATGTTTAATAAATACTTCCTGAATTGATTAAATATTCAGCTTTGAGGTTTTTAATTTATTACTTTTGCTAATATAAGTCTCTCTGCTTCAAATTCCATGCTCCTTATTCCTTCCCATTAAGATTCTACCTTCTGCATCAAAACTTCCCTAATCCTATAGATTTGATCTCTTCCACTTCTTAATTCCTGAAACTTTTCATATAATTTTTATAGCAGCATAGTGTAATGGTGAGAACTCTCCAACCAGATTGCCTGGTTATAGATTCCAACTCCATCACTTAATAGCTTTGTAACCTTGGACAAGTCACGTAAATCCTCTTTTATTTTCCCTTTTCTGTAAGTTTGATATGAAAATATTATAATATATAAAATAGCAGAATTCTTATGCAGATGCAAACGATTCAAAGAAAATATAAAACTATAGAGAGAGCTGGAGGAGGTAAGAACAGACCCAGGCAGAGACTAAGTATCGACAGCAAATGGGTATATGGAGCTTTTTTGAAGGAGAAAATATTCCAAAACTACTGTAAAATTAAGTAAGTATCTTGAAAAGAAAATTTTAAAACTGACTTATGGCTCTGTTTTTACAGATATATAAATTTACTATATCAAACTATTCAATTAAAATTGGTAAATTTTATGGTATTCAAATTATACCCCAATGAATCTGTTGAAAAGATGGATGGACAGACAGATGGATGGATGGATGGAAGGGGGGGAAGAGAGAGAGAGAGTGTTAGAATAGTATATGTCTGGCTCATCCTCCACGCACTCTGATTTAGCTATTCTTACTACCCTATACTACCTTAGGTTATCTATGTTTGTCTCATTTCCTTAGTCTCACACCTTCTTTCCCCTCCACATAAACAAAGCCTGAGCTTAATCCTGGCACTGGTCCTTGCCTATCATAGGTACTCAGTAGATATTTACTGACTGAACGCGCTCTATGGACCAGTGTACATTATGTCTAATATGAATAGGTGCTGGATTGGGTGAAGGATCCTGAGGTTTGTGTATGCAAAGAGGACTGAATTATACATTTAGACAGATGGTCTTTTACATCCCCATAATAGAGAATATTTGGTTGTAAGTATATGACTTTTGAATACCAAGGATAATAATCATCATTTATGATAATCTCTACTAATGTAAGACTTTGGCCTGCTCCAGGCCTGATTTTCCCGGGTCACACCTAAACTATTGCCTTTCTTATAGTTAGTATACTCTGCTTTTGGCATTTAAGGTCTTGAATTCCCAACACTCCCAAACCATCTTCGTTACTCACTCTTTCCTCAAAGAATGAGGGGAATCTTGCCAAATAACTTATTTGTTTTAAATTTGTTCTTTTACATGACAGTAGAGCACATTTTAGCATACACAGAGTATAACTATTTCTAATTAGAATCCTCTTCTGGTGGTTGTACATGATGTGGAGTTTTCCTGGTCATGTATTCATATATAAGGATAGGAAAATTATTTCAAATTAATTCTACTGTCCTTTCTATTCCCTCCCCCCCTCTTCCCTTCATTCCTCTTTGTCTAATCCAATGAACTTCTGTTTTTCACCTCCCCACCCTCCCTTATTGTGTTTAACATCTGCATATCAGAGAGAACATTCAGCTTTTGGATTTTGGGGACTGACTTATTTTACTTAGCATGATGTTCTCCAGTTCTATCCAAATAACTTCTTAATGCATTCTGGGAAAGTTTCCCAGGAACCAGAAGAAAATTGTGAATGGGATTCTTGTAGTCTTCCAAGATAAAGACAGAGATATTTTGTGGTTTTTGGAAAATAATAAATAGAAAATAAAATAAAAACAAAAAAATCTTTCTGTTAATATCATCTTTTCATTTAGCACTCCAAAAGAGAAAAGTAATTATCAACTGAACATTGTTTGGTAGAAAGAAACAGGAACCAAATCAGCCAGTATTTTGGGAAGGTAAACTGTTGCTTAGGAATCTGCCTGAGGCCCAGAGTGAATAGTTAATTGAACATCTCTTTTAATTAGAACATGTTGTAGCCCAGTTTGGAGTTCTTTAAAAAGACTTCCAAGATTTATGTTTACCTTGAAAGCTTCTGAAGAGGATTATTATAAGTTGGAGCATTAGGAGGTACAGAGTATTGGAATTTTCTGATCTGGCAAAGAGAAAAAAGATTCTTTCTTATGATAGTCGAAGAGCACAATATAAAAACAACCTACCTTCTTGGACATTTTCACAGTAAACCCAAATCTGTAGGAATATGATAGGCAATCAGGTGTAATAACAAAACCTCTAGTTAATCTATTATTACAGAAGTTGTATAGTTTTTAAAAATGCATCAATTAAAAAATGTGGAAAGAATAACAAGCAAAAAATGGCATTTTGGATCTCTGATGTTTACAAAAACAAAATAACTTGAGGTTTTTTTATCTGCATTGTTCCATTTTGGGGATTAGGGGGATATCCTGGTCTTTGAAACTTGGAAATATCTATAATATCCGATCTATTACTCAGAATGGACTTCTTTTCATTTCTTTTTATTGAATGTTCAATTATTTCCTTTTTTGTTCATACAGGGACAATTATAGGAATTAGAAAAGACGCTTCCACATCTCCTATACAAACAGGAAGCCAAAAGGAGCTTGTAGCCACAGCCCCATCATCATACCAACACAATGCTTCCCGGTAAGTTTCAGGGATTCTTTGACTTAACATTCTCCATATGAGAGCATCTTCTTAGATGTTTTTTTAAATAGTGATTGGAAAAATCTTGACAGTTCTTAGTGGCGCTTACTCAATAGAGAAATCCTTATGTTAAAGAATATGGAATTGGCCATATTAAGCCACATGGAATTCTTTTCTCTGTACATGCACTTTCTTAATTAATCATGGCAATTAGCAAGAATTTTTAAAGATACCCAAATTAATCCTATCCTTCATCAGAAAATCTGCTTAGCAGTAGATCCTTTCCAGTTTATCATGGGTTAGTTATACATTGGAACTATAACTAACTGAATTAATTTTGAAAATTATAGTGGCTTTTGTATTAATTAAAAGTATATCATTGTTACTTGTACTATTAGGAGGGTTATCATTTGATCAGCCATTTCTAGGGTCAGGGAAAGAAATACATTATTTTAAATTTATCATATCTAATAATCCAACTCCCATTTACATTGAAAGCTCACTATACAAACATCAGTACCAGAAGGATTTGGCTTATGTTTCCTTGGGGATCTGATTGGTTTTGAGTTCTTATGTTCTTAACATTTTATTAGATGAATATTAAGTTTAAGACTTAATTTGTAGTTAATTCACAGTCCATTGGAATTTCAAAGTAAAAATGCTTAAATTATTGGTCTCAAGGCCAATGATTTCAAAAGTGTACTGTGAAATTTATTATTTTGGTTTTTGGTTATTTCGGAAGGGAGAGAAGCATTAACTCTTTCTCCTCTAGAGGGTTGTGTTCCAGACACATTCAGTGGAAATACTATTCCACAAAAGCCAAACCTAGGCATCCTTAAAAACCAAATGGTTCATATTTTTGTGCCTTTAATTCTGGGGCCAGAAGAGTAAGCATAGCATCATAAAGAAATTTTGAGAAATGACTCTAACACACAGGATAATTATAATAGTTGCTATTTTAACTATGTGCCCAGCACTTTGCCAAGACCCTTAATGTATTATCTAATTGAATCTTCACAATCTTCTGAGATGGTACTATTATCATCCCCATTTTAAAAATTAGAAAACTGAGAATAAGAGAGATTGAGTGATTTGTCTAATTTTACATATCCAATAAAAGGACATGCAGAGCCAGCATTTCAGACTCCAGATTCGTAATCTTAAATATTTTTGTGACAGCTGGCAATGACAGTTTCCCATTGTGGTGGCCACCCACAAAGACCCACAAGGAGTTGTGATTCTGGAATGTTGTTGGGACTCCCTCTTTGGACCACTTAACACTGTGCTTGGAAGCTTGTGCTCGAAGAATTTCCGTCTTGCTCTCCTTTTGAGGGGGTCTTTTGGAAGATTTAGAATTAAAGAGGGGTGATGATCTACATTTTGAGTCTCAGTTTTACTACTGTTAGAGATTAAAATGAGATTTTTAACATCATTTTAATATATTTTTGGTGATTGTATTTCAATTTAAAGAGAAGCATGAAAAGAAGGAATAAAATGTTTCACTGTAAGGGTTTTGTAAAACATCCTCAGCACATGTTTTCTGAATGGACCATATTAACTTTATAGAGTTTTACAAACCCAGGTTAAAATTGCTGTGAAGACTCACATTTATAGACTTTTAAAAATGATTATTTATCTCTTAGTCCTTGATGCTACAGATCAGCTAAATATAGATTCTCAGAAGCTGTATAAATAATGAGCATTTGGTTAAATAAAACAATGTGTAGCACACCAAATTTTATCCTTAGACATGCACAATGGCATATTATAGGTCTATTATACAAGGTGCAGAGTTGAAAACAAGATTCAATAGTATGAAAATCAGTTACCAGGAAGGCCCAGTGGGTGCTTTGCAGACTCCAGAATCAGGAGTATTTGAATCATTCTTATTGCAAAGTGTACAAAAGGCCTTTTTTTATAGACTACTTTTCAGTTATGTGCAAACGTGTAATGCAAGAGGAATGCCTGTGATTCTTCCTCCTAACAAACCTTTGAAGGAACTGAGGAGACCCTGAGGAAAAGCCTTCCATCCACCCTAAAATTCCAAGAATGTTTAAGATTTGCACTAGAGGATGCGGTAGTTCAGATGCTGGTGAGAAATAGGTTTTCCTTTGTTCTCTGAAAACACCTGGAAGTGTCCAATATCGTTCCTTGTACAGCTGAAAAAAACAGGCATGGCAGAGTCATCTTTCTCATTCATAGTGTAGGCTGTTAATTGTTCTCTCTGCTGGCTGTCAATATAATGTGAAATTTTCATTCCCCATTCAAGATGGAAAAAGTTGTGGCTGAAAATGTTAACATTTGCATTTTTATTTGTTGATTTATTTAAAGGACAGCCTCTCCTACAGCAATCCATCACTTGGTGACACCCCAAATATGAATAATGTATTGTAGACTTGTGGTTACAATGTGTAATAAGTGCTAGAGACAGTAAAGGAATGTTAACTATGTTGCAAATGTAATATTTATCGACTCATAAAGTTTATTGCTTTCGAGGTTCAATAATACTGACCATAGGACATTAATATCACTTATCCTGATTTTAGCTGGGCACCTTTGTATGTAGAAATATTCATCTATCTCATGCTAACAAAATAAATATGTAATTTACAGCACAAGCAAAGAGGGCATTACAGTCTTCCATGCTAAGAGCTGCAATGTTTCTTTCTCTCCGTTTCACATCCAGCTTCAAGCACTAACTGCATACTCCTGAACTGACAAGGATAGTAAGGACCATGGTCATCTTGGCACAAGAGGGTGGTGGGACTGAATTAAACGGTGCCATTCACTTCTGCTTGGTTAGGCAACACCACATAGATCACTCCACCTGGAGAGAGGATGGGAAGGACTTTTCTTCCTGTCATTTCAAATACCTGGTGGGTAGGTGAGCCTCAGCTCTGAAAGAAAATTGAATGAATATATACCTTTGCTGCCATGAGGCTAAGTCAGAGTTTACCAGTTCTACTGGTGAAATCAATTCCAATGTGTAATTAGACCTGAGCAGGTTACCATTAGCTTCTCAAATTAATGTGTTATGAGCACAGATGTTACTGATAATTAACCCTTTTGTGCCTTCCAGGATTAGGTATGTCCATTGCTAACAATCAAGAATAAAGGAAATATCTAACACCCAAGCAAAAGAAGTCGTGTTAATTAGCAACCATCAACTGTAATTGTCATCCACATTAAGATGCAGAGTTATGTATTTCTTTGATATAAATAACCTTTCTAATTGTACTTGATGTATGCCAATTTAATCAAAAAGTATACTTGCAACAAACAGATCTTTGCATTAATGTAGTTTGGATCTTTATATCTTTTATTTCAAATTGGACTGGGAAATAAGTTTTATTATAGCTGTATATCATTTTTCTGCTGGTTTCTTTCTCTATTCATGTATGTAGATCTGATACACATTATATTAAAATGTAGGTAGTATCTTCTGGGAGTCACTTTTTAAAATACTGATCAAGTTTCTAGTCTTATGACAAAATAATAATGATTGTTCCAAACTGATAAGCAGAAGCAAACACCAGGCCTGTGGTAGCAGTATTAAATTCTCAGTCTCTGAACCAGAAGGTGACTAAGGCCTCTTCTCTCTGCTCTTCCATGATTTCAAAAGGGTTTACAGCTGGTACTCTTGCAATCCCTTTTTCTGTAAGATGTGAAGGAAGAAAGGCAAATCTCTCCAAATCATGCCCAACTAGTGAATTCTTGAAACTGAAAATGAATTTAGCCTATTTCTTTCTTTTTTAAAAAAAGTTATTTATTTATTTTTTAGTTGTAGATGGACACAATACCTTTATTTTATTTTATTTTTTTTTAATGTGGTGCTGAGGATCAAACATGCTGGGCAAACGCTCTACCACTGAGCTACAGCTGCAACCCCATGAATTTAGCCTATTTCTAGGAATTGCACTTTGCCTTTTCAAAAAAAAATTTTTTAAAGAAAGATTAGGGTTTTTCTTTTTTTAACACAACACAGAAGTATCAACAGTTTTTTTTATTTTTTTGAGTTATTGACAGGAGAGCATTTGGTAAAGCCTGTTTTTTCTTGAGGGGGTTTAGAAAATATTTGAATATATACTTTAGAAGACTTGATAGCTTATTTGGAGGCTTTAAAAATAGTTTAACTTGTTCTTTTTTAAAGCTCTTGGTCCTTTGTTGTCAAACCATATGCTTAATGTATTTTGAAAATTTTGCTGTAAGGTTGCACATTATTAAGTCTAATGGCCTGTGTATGGCCATGCTTACAGGCAACTGTACACATGCTGCCTCATGCTGGCTTGTGAGATCCTCATGCTCCACTGAGGCTAACATCCAAGCACCAGGCCCAAAAACCTGGTGCCGTACTCGCCCAAGCCCAGGCTGGAAGAATTCTTCTCTGTCTCGAAAACAGTCATTACTTATTTTTACCTTAAGTAACTTGACATGAAAATCCATTTGCTTCCACCACCATTTATGATAGCACAGCCTTCAAAATACTAAAACAACATGTGACATTTGGATCCTTGGCTGTGATATGAAGAAAAACATTTCTGCATGTTACTCTTTGTACTTTCTGGATGATACTCCAGGATGAAAAACCATGAGCAGTTCAGGCACCATTTAGTTTCCCACATCACATGGCCAGTGACCATTCAGATTGAAGAGAAAGGAAAATCATATAAATATGCTCTTCTTGATTATAAGAGTAAACTTGTTAATCTCAGCAACAAAATTCTGGATTGGAAGCTGCCAGAAGATTCAAACCTACACAAGTGACATATTTTTATTATAATAATAAATTACTTGTAAAATAATATAAATTATAAAATAGAATAGAAATATAATACCCAAAATTATAATTACTATTCACAGTTCTTAGCATAGTACTTCAGATTTTAAAAATGCTTTTATCATACAGTATTTCATTTAATTTGTACCAAAACCCTGTGTGGTAAGTAGTATCCCATTTAACAGAGAGAATGAGAACTGAGAGAGAATGAGCAATTGGCAAA